GTTATCGTACTAAAATCATCAACTAATTCCATTCATATTTCGCTAGAGTTCTATTTTGGCATCCTCTGGGGTAGAATCTGACAGAGATCATCTCTGGAATTTTCACTGTTTCTCGTTCTTTTTCCTGTTTTTTTTTCACACAGAGTTGTTAGAGATTGTTATTGAGTTGGATCATTTTAGCAGTGTTTTCGCTGTATCTGTACATTCTAATGAAGACTATCCTTTGCTGTGTAAAGTGCATCGATGAGTCAAAGTCACCGTTATCTTGAGGAATGATTTGTGGTCTCATATTTTTCAAAGACGACTTCCGCCGCTATTTTCAGGCGAATGAATCCTGAAAACGGATGGTACGTGAACGAAGCTCTCTTAGCTCAACTGTTTGAAGCTAATGGAGTACCAAATGATGTGAAGAAGCTTGAGAAGAAGTTGTGTGACGTAAGGAGTTGAGATTTCCATCAATGCGACACCTGATAGCTCTGGGGTGCTCTAGGGTTGCAAACGGGACCCTCTGACCACTGCGTAGAGGAATCTTTTGAAGCTATCAAAGGCGAAGCCCATTTTTCTTTTTTTTTTCTAATAGAATGGCTGTATCCGGAAAAGATCTGCGGAATGTTTCGCAAAGATCAAGATGTCAAGAGCTCTAAATGCTTCTTCGAACAGTGATTGCGATGGCAAAAGCGGGCCAAATTTGAAGAAACCATCGGAGGAAGGGCGTTCAGAGCCGGAACAACCTGGGTTAACCGTCCTGTTGGAATTTTCTCCATGAGGGGACGTAGTTTATAATTCTGGAGGTCCGTTTCTGGAGATAGGGGTCGTATTCTCAGGGATCCATGGAAACAAGCGAATTTTCGGGAGTTTGAAACATTTTCACCAAATCTGGAAGAATGCAAACCCTCTCCCTCTCTGCTCGGCGCATTTATGCAGTTTTGGAGTGGATTCGAACTTTTAAGGGTATTCTTGTTGAGGACTCGTCCAGGGGTGTATCCAATTCCAACATTTTTTCCATTGTGTTGGTTGATCTTGATCCGCCCACTTACAGCTAGGTGGAAACGGGTGTGGTCGGACCGCCTCCGAACCCGCTATCCATCTGCGGCAACTAGCACCGCCTCCAGGCTGTCAAGCGCCTCTAGGCTTCAATGATCCTTTGTTTTCAGATTGACATTCGTGAATATGGTGATCCCTGTTTATTGAGCCGTATGAGTAAAGAAGCTCTGAATGGCCCAGTGGTGCTTCAGCTGATCAGATACAGGTGTGCTTTCAATTCCTCAAGATCGTTTTTTTTTCTGAATTCGACAGGTAGCGCTAGAACTCGTGAAGCTTTTACCATATAAGGCGTAATGTTTCAGGAATGTGTCGCAGCCAAAAGTGAAGGAAGATGTGCGAGGAAGTAGCGATATTGCTAGGCTTTCTCTCACTGATGGTCACACTTCCATATCAGCTCTTCTTTTGGAAAATATCAAAGGTCTGAAGTAAGTCTATTTCCAGCCCAGAATCATTTTCGATGGGTTGCTTTCTAGTAGTAACTTCTATTCCGTTTAGCTCAGACACACCACCTGGAAGCAAGATATTGATAACTGGAACGGTACCAGTGGAGAGCGGTTTTATAATTTTGAACCCGGAGAATGTTCACGGTCATTGGAGGGCGTGTAGACAAACTAATCGAAAAGTGGACAATAGAACGGGTTGGCTTGGCAGCTTTTGAAGTCATGCAATTTTTACTACTTCCTTGTTCTTATTGACGATTTTGAT